CATTGTCAGTCCCTTGTCTATATATGGAGTAACTGTACATCGCTTTGAGCCCACTGGGGAATGCGATTAATAAATGGAAAGTATTAAAAAAAACTTTCCAGAAAAGCACATCTTATGTTCTGCCGGTAAAAACCTTAATGATGCCCAAGGGCCTCAGGAGATAAAGTCAGCTAGGGGGACAGCTAAAGTTCTTTGCAGGGCAGACCTAACTGGGTTAGGGGTGAGAGAGTTGGGAAGGGGAATGTAAAGCTAGTGTGGGTGGAGAACTTAATAAGCTCATTGAGCATTTCTCTGCCCTTTGGCCTTCTGCATATTTCAGCCTTTGATTCCTCTGTGGATTAGGGTGTGGCAGGGAGCTCTGCCTGGAGGCATCCTTGCTAGAGCAGAGATGGGGAGCGTAAGCAAGAACTGATGAATCACAGCCATATGCCTTGTATGTATCTGTCTGTCGATATCAACAGAACAAGATACAGTCAGACGTCCTTGCTTTCCTGGAGCTGCTACAGGTACATCCATTCTTTTCCTGTATAATTGTGGCTTGCATAAAAATGTAAATTTTTTAAGGCTAGAAGTTTCCAATATGCAGGAAGTTCTTTGCATATGAGGCGACACACCCCTAATGTAGCCAATCCTCCAAGAGCTTACAGAGCTCTTCTTACAGGGGCTACTTTACGCTCTTGGAGGATTGGCTACATTAGGGGTGTGTAGCCTAATTCCAATATTCCCCATTACTATGAATGGGTGTGAAAGTTGGGCAATGAAGAAAGCTGATGGGAAGAAAGCTGATGGAGGATTGGCTACATTAGGGGTGTGTTGCCTAATAGGCAAAGGAGTTCCTGCTACAAAAAGAGCCCAAGATCGAGTTAATTCATGCTATGGTATTCCAGTATTCCCCATTACTATGAATGGGTGTGAAAGTTGGGCAATGAGGAACGCTGACGGGAAGAAAGTAGATTTGTTGTCGAAGGCTTGACACAGAGAGTACTCCATCTTTTCGTGTTATATCTCTGAGGATGCCAGTCACAGCTACTGGCGAAATGTCAGGTCCTACAATGACAAGACCATGGCCATACAACTTGGAAAATCTATAACAGCTAAAGAAAGTAGATTCGTTTGAAAGCTGGTGCTGGAGTTTTACAGATATTGTGGACCCGCAGAAACACAAACAAGCTCTCCCAGACTCTCCCTAGACTAAAATGACTAAACTGAGGCTATCATACTTGGGTCACATTATGAGAAACCAAGACTTACTGCTACGCACTTGATCTTAGCTGAAAGGCCGAGAAGCGATACCAACACTTACTGGAAAGGGCGATAACTCCAGGGAAAGCTGAAGGCAGCTGGAAATGAGGAAGACCCAACATGTGATGGATGGACTCAACCAAGGAAGCCACAAAGGCCCTCTGTTTGCAAGACCAGAGCAAGGCTGTTAACCATAGGATGCTTTGGAGGACATTAATTCATAGCAGTAAAAAAGAGTAAGGTCCAGAAGCACCTTAAGGTAAAGGTAAAGGTTCTCTTGCTCGAAAGCCAGTCAAATCCGACTCTAGGGTTGCGGTGCTCATCTCCATTTCAAAGCTGAAGAGCCAGCGCTGTCCGAAGACGTTTCTGTGCTCATGTGGCCGGCATGACTGGACGCCAAGGTGCACGGAATGCTGTTACCTTCCCAAGGAAGCGGTACCTATTTATCTACTTGCAATTTCTTGCTTTCGAACTGCTAGGTTGGCAAGAGGTGGAACTAGAGACGGGAGCTCACTCCGTCATGTGGCAACTCGGGTCTCGAACTGCTGAACTACTGACCTTCCACAGCCTGCAGTTCAGCGTCTTAACCACATGAGCCACTGCAGCTCCTAGAAGCACCTTAAAGACTAACAAAATAAGTGGCATGGTATGAGCTTCCATGAGTCACTGCTCACTTCTTCAGACACCTTGCTCTCTTCTACTGCTATGGACAGACTAACACGGCCATCTTGATTAGTTCACAGGGTCGCCAGAAGCCGCTTGATAGCACACGCACACATTTTGTGGCAAGCAACTGCTATATTTCACAGCTCTCTCGTACAAGAAATAGCTATGTAGCACTGAGATCTCTTAAACGAAGCAAAATGTTTGCCGTCAAATCACAACTGACTCATAGCAATCCCCATGGATTCCACCTCACAGGGTTTTCAAGATGAGCAGAGGTGGTTTGCTATTGATCTTCCTTTGCATGGCAGCTTGAGTCTTCCTGGGAGGTCTCCCCCCCCCCCCCCCGCGCTAAGTTCAAACCCCACAAAAATAGGGCAGAGCAGTACGGTCTCACATAGCTGCAGCTCAGGAATATCCAACGTCATCCTGCCAAATTGCTTGCGGGAAGAATAGAGCGTGGTCTGAAAGGCTGCGAAGTTTCTGGGTTTCCCCAGCTAGGACTGTGACCACTAGCAGGGTGCTGATGTGCCCACTACCGTTATCATTCAGTCGATCTACAAAATAACCCAAACAACTAAAGGCTATTGTTTTCTAGTGGAATTCAGAGGACAAGAGCAAAGGCCTCCTACCTATTTGTGCTCTGCATGGGGTGGGAGGCAAGAAGTTCATGAATACCTCAAAACGGGGTGGGATACAATACGCCGAATCCTGTCCAGGGCTATTTTTGGGCAGGAACGCACAGGAAAGGAGTTCCGGCTGGCTTCCAAGTTGGCCACGCCCAGCAGGAACTCATTAGCATAATAGGCCACACCCAACAGCAGAAACTCATAAGGATTGGCTAAATTAGGGGTGTGTGGCCTAACATGCAAAGGAGTTCCTGCTACAAAAAAAGCTCTGCGTTTTGACAACAAACAAGGTAAACAGAATAAGCAGCAAAAGGTTGGTGTGGCTGGATGACTAAACTTCTGGTAACATGTGGGTGTGGCCTAATAGGCTAATGAATGAGCGGTGCTGTCAGGGGTGTGGACCAATATGCTATTGAGTTCCTGCTGTTGGGTGTGGCCCATTATGCTAATGAGTTCCTGCTGGGCTTTTTCTACAAAAAGAGCCCTGACCTGTCCAACTCCACACCCATTTCTCCTCAGATGAGCATTGCCGTTTATACTAGACCAAGGGTCTGACTCGGTATAAGACAGCTTCATGCGAGGAGGTCCTTTTGCTCACGGTTTGTAGGATCCAGCCCTGGGCACTGCAGGCTGCATTCCCACAGGCACTCCTTTGGGAGCACGTCCCACTGAATTTTACAGAGTCTGGCTTCTGAGTAAGTGTACATACGATCAGCCGAAAGCCCCCTTGCTCTGCCCGTGCTTCTGTGAAGTTAAACACGATTGGCTCTTCGGTGCTTTGGTCCTGATGACCTGGCTTGCTGATTCCGGGTTCTGCTAGCTGGCTACCTAAGGCTATTTTTGGGCAGGAACGCACAGGAACGGAGTTCCAGCTGGCTCCTGAGTTGGCCACACCCAGCAGAAACTCATTAGCATAATAGGCCACACCCAACAGCAGAAACTCATTAGGACTGGCTACAGTAGGGGTGTGTGGCCTAACATGCAAAGGAGTTCCTGCTACCAAAAAAAGGCCCTGGGTTTTGACAACAAACAAGGTAAACAGAATAAGAAGCAAAAGGTGGGTGTGGCTGGATGACCACACTTCTGGCAACATGGGGCTGCGGCCTAATATGCTAATGAGCTGTGGTGTCAGGATGTGGCCTAATATGCTACTGAGTTTTGGCTGTTGGGTGTGGCCCATTATGCTAATGAGTTCCTGCTGGGCTTTTCTACAAAAAAAGACCTGTGGCTACCCATTAGCGACACAGCTGCCCAGTGCTGCCGGCCTTAAGTTCTGTCACCATCTCCTAGTTCCTTTGGGGAAGGAGCCGGGTCTCTCTCCTCATTCAGCAACACTCAGTGACAGGGTCTGGGACAGCCCCTCTGACCCAGCACGAGAGATGCTGCTCTCTCTGCCGTTACAAAAGAACACACCCTCTGGCTATCGCCGTGCGTGTGTGTGTGTGTGTGTTTATTAACATCACAACAAATGTGATGCTGAAACTGGCTGTAACTCAGACCTGCAAAACTGGTGACCCGCTGAGTGCAGTGTATCTCGCTAGCTGTGTACCGTGCTCTGCTGCACATGTGGCATTCCCCGCTCACCCGTTTTCGAGGACTGCTGGGGCCTGGGGCCTGGGGCTTTGGGCAGGGACCACGATTGTCACCTGTGGCTTATTCACTTGCTGGCATTCTACCACAGACCTCCCAAGTATTTGCATCGCTAGTGTCTCCTAGGGTTGCAGACAGTGCAGGAGGCTATGAGTGTTGTCGGTGGTAGGAGGGCTTGCTGGCAGGCAAGGAAAGGACACAGAGGCAAGTGGGAAGCATGCAGATGGGTGGGATAGAAGGAGGGTATGAGAGGAGGGCCTGGAGGTGACCAGAGGAAGCCGGAAAGGGCCCTGGGAACACTCTGCCCAGGCCCCCCCAAACCCAGAACCAGCCCTGTTAGGATGTCTTGGTCATTATTTCCAGGAATATCTCCTTCGGCATTTGAAAGGATATCCTCAGGAACTTGGCAGGGAGGGCGGGATAAAAAAATATATATCAAAGGAAATAAATAAATAAACTGCTTTAAGTATCATAGAATCATAGAGTGGGAAGGGACCTCCAGGGTCATCTAGTCCAACCCCCTGCACAATGCAGGAAATTCACAAATACCTCCCCCCCACACCCCCAGTGACCCCTGTTCCATGCCCAGAAGATGGCAAAAAACCTCCAGGATCTTCAGCCAAACTGGCCTAGAGAAAAATGGCTTCCTAGCCCCGAAGTGGCAATCAGCGTTTCCCTGGGTGTGCAAGAAAGGGCCACCAGAACTAAGCACTTCCTCTCAAAGAATACAGTTATTATAAGCTGTGCTCTGGTAGAAGGGGAAAAAAACTGAACCCCAGCAACACACACACCAACCGTGAAAATGGCAAGGAATTAAAGTGTCAGCGGAAAGCTCCCAAAGCCCCCCTTTCTTAACAGATAACAGCAGCCTCTCACCTTACGTGTTAATCTTCTCTTTATCTCCCGTTTTTCTTCCTGCTCCTCTTGTTCATTCCGCGCTGGAAAAGAGTTACAAGGTTCTAGACTGGTTAGGCTGATAAGACACGGAGAACATACAGAAGCCGGCATCTGTTAGGACGGGGGCTATCAATATCTCAGGCCTTCTTCTGATACGGAGAAAGGACCCGAGAGAACGATGAACTTTGGCCATCCCACAGTACATGCCTTTCTCAGTGAACTGTACAAAAACATCCAAATCCCTTCTGGTCAGGCCAAGTGTCAGCAGAAATTTTATTTCTTAACATAGCTCAGTTTATACCAGTCATGAGGTGGATCCTCCATCATTACTGCTGTGCCTAAGGGCCTGTTTGCTGTGGGGAAGGAGAGGCATGATACTGCTAGCACAGACAGAGCAAACAGTCTGAGATGCATTCTGAGGTAAAATTTTGCTTTTATGAAACAGCTCTTAGAAGGAGCCCCCGGAGGTGTTCTATATATAAGATATGTTGTGGGAATGGGTCATTCACGCAACTTGATTGCACTCGATCCCATGAGCTCCACCTTTCCATTCTCAGCTTAAAGATTATGATCTGAGAGACCTTCCTTCCTTCCTTCCTTCCTTCCTTCCTTCCTTCCTTCCTTCCTTCCTTCCTTCCTTCCTTCCTTCCTTCCTTCTCAGCCTGATGAAGGATTCCGGAGGACTTGAAAGCTTGTACACTATGATGTGTTTCTTCAGTTCAACTTAATAACTGTTATTACATGGCTTTTGTCTTTCACATCACACATAAACACACATGAAGCTACCCTACATTGAATCAGACCATCGGTTCATCAAGATCAATACTGTCTACCAATTTTCCCTCTAAGCTGTGGAGTCTTGTGAGCAAAAATCCTACTTTGTGAGCTACTGGCACTAAAGTTGTGAGCAGGTGATTTGGCTACTGCATAAATTAGTTTGTCCTGGAGCCATTCTTCCTGAGCTAAGAGAAAGTGTGAGCCGGAGGCTAAAAAACTGTGAGCTAGCTCACACTAACTCAGCTAAGAGGGAACACTGCTGTCTACTCAGACTGGCCATAGCTCTCCAGGGTCTCAGGCAGAGGTCTTTCAGGTCACCTACTGCCCAATCCTTTTAACCGAAGATGCCGGGGATTGAACCTGGGACCTTTGACATGCAAAGCATAGGCTGAGCCACAGCCTTTCCTGAATTGTGGCTGCATAGCAAATCTCTCATTGTAGTGATGGACAAAACGGGATTTTGCCATTACGTCCGTGCTGGTGGGGTGGCTCTAAAATATAACTGTACAGTTCAAGAATTTAACAGAAACCGACTAGGAGGTTATTAGCTTATTAGGAAAGCTGTCGGTTAGAAAACCGTCCATAAAGAATAAATGATTTTACTTCAATCTGAGGCCACATCCACTCAGGTTGTTTGCCCCAGGTTCAGAGCTGCTGGGAAACGGCTTTCTTTTTCTGCTCCAGCACACAAAATAGTGTATTTGTACACTTTCCAGGGCTTCCCTTGCTTTCCCCCAAGCTTTCCTGAATCTACTTTGCTGTGTAGTTTTACGAAAAATCACAGCAAATCCTGGATGGCTGTTGTATAAGCGGGAAAGTCTAGATTTCCCCAGTCCCACCTACATGGCAGCCATCTTTCCAAAAGCAGCAACTTCCTAACCCCACAACCGGGGAGGCTTTTTCCTTTCCTTTTTAAAATCAGCAGATTAATAACATTATCGCGCTACAACATTATAACTAAATGTTTGACAGTTTCTCTGAATTTCCAGCTTTCATTTAAAAAATAAGTAAATATCTAGCACCTTTAATTGCAGAGATATAAGACATACCTCTGCAACGGAAGGGCTACGTACCTTTTAGAAAAGGAAAGCTGCAAAATCAGACCACCCCTTATACACATTATTATAACGTTATAGTGATATAACAATATTCAATTGCCAATTGTTGGTATGGGTGTGTGTGGATTGCCACTGCTGGGGGGACCGGAGGAAGGAAACCTTTTTCAAATCAGCATATTAATAACATTATCGCGCTACAACATTATAACTATATGTGTGACACTTTCTCTGAATTTCCAGCTTTCATCTAAAAAATAAGTAAATATCTAGCACCTTTAATTGCAGAGATATAAGACATACCTCTGCAACGGAAGGGCTACGTACTTTTTAGAAAAGGAAAGCTGCAAAATCAGACCACCCCTTATACACATTATTATAACGTTATAGCGATATAACAATATTCAATTGCCAATTGTTGGTATGGGTGTGTGTGGATTGCCACTGCTGGGGGGACCGGAGGAAGGAAACGATGGGGAACAGCCACAGCAGCAGTGGAGAAATTACATGTGGAAACAGCTCCGTAACCGTGCTGCAAAATTAAAAACAAAGACGAATTGATGGGCCTTAATTTGGATTTTCTTGAATGATTACTTGTGACCCAAATATGTTCTCACCGAAGCATTGTGGTAAAAGTGCTGATGTTTGTTACATGCATGCAGTATATAATGGCAGTTTTAATCTGTTGCAGATATCAACAGGACATAAAAATAGGCTGAGCGGGATTGCCCTGGTCTGACTTCCCTGGAAATTGGGCATTTCGGGACTGTCCCTTCTCCCGTCCTCTCACCGCCTTCTAGTTCTAGCTTGCAGCTACTTACGTTTCAGAATGTTCCTCTGCTCCAGTTCTTCAGCAGTTGGCCTTTGGCTCAGCCGCCTGCGGAAAAAGCCCAGGATTAATTTTTGGACCATAGCATGTCCTCCAGTGTATGCTCAGGAGTAACTTTCCCCCACTGCGGTACTAAATTGGAGACGATAACATTGTTCCTATGTGTGCAGCAGTTCCCGATAATACAGAGCATAACTTGCACTGGTAGTTTATTCCCAATCAAGGGGAAACCAAACGTGCTGTGTCGTAATTAGACATGCCTCTCCCATCCCCACCTCAGGCTAATCAGCTGAGAGTTAGGCGATGCAGATGTCTTTGCTTAAATTTCCTTCCTGCTTCCTGACTTTTATCAGAATGTCAAGTTTAGCTCTGTATCACTCCTTCCCTATGCTTGTCAGAGCCTCCATGTTTTACCCAACTTGTCCAAAGAGGCTGCGATAGGGATGCCAGCCTCCAGGTGGGACCTGGGGATCCCCTGGTTATTACAGCTCATCTCCAGTCTAGATAGATCAGTTCCCCTGGAGAAAATGGATGCTTTGGAGGGGGGGCTCTGTGGCATTGTACCCCACTGAGGGCCCTGTCCTCCTGAGGCTCCATCCTCAAATCTCCAGGAGTTTCCCCACCTGGATCTGGCAACTCTACGCTTCCTGTTTAATCTTCATTTATCATCCCCTGCCAGTGGCTAGTGGGGACCTGGCAACCCTCTGCTGTGAAAACCAAAGGCAGCTATCAGTCCAGAAAAACAACAACCAGGCATGGTGATCTTGTCCAGAACAATACTGACTTAGCCTCCCTAAGTCCTTACTTCCTCCCCTGGCTACGAAGCCAGGGCCTTCTCAGTGGTGGCTCCGTGCTGGTGGAATGAGTTCCGGGAAGACACTAGGGCCTTGTGGGAGCTTTTAAAGTTCTGCAGGGCCTGCAAGACGGAGCTCTTCCAGCAGGCATTCGACCAAGGAGCCGCACCAGTAGCTTATAGTTGAATAGAAGTATAAGACCCTGTGCCCTAATACCACCATCGACAGCCTGTGCTTGGCCAGCACAAATCGGTCCGAGATTATAGTCCTAACACCAAGGCTGACTGTACTCCTCATTATGATTGATCTGTTACCAATGTTTTGCCATTGTCATATAATATTGTGTACTAGCACTTTATGAATGGTTTTATACAGGGCTTTTTTTGTAGAAAAAGCCCAGCAGGAACTCATTAACATAATAAGGCATACCCAACAGCAGAAACTCATTAGCATATTAGGCCACACCCCTGATAGTAAAGCTCATTAGCATATTAGGCCATACCCCCATGTTACCAGAAGTGTGGTCATCCAGCCTCACACCCCTTTTGCTTCTTATTCTGTTTACCTTATTGTCAAAACCCAGAGGTTTTTTTGTAGCAGGAACTCCTTTGCACGTTAGGCCACACACCCCTAATGTAGCCAATTCCAATAAGTTTCTGCTGTTGGGTGTGGCCTGTTATGCTAATGAGTGCCTGCTGGGCGTGGCCAACTCAGGAGCCAGCCGGAACTCCGTTCCTGTGCGTTCCTGCCCAAAAATAGCCCTGGTTTTATAGATGCTCTGGTTTTATCTGTTTTAATTTTTATGTAAGCCGCCCTGAGGCTGCTCCGGTGAGGAGGGCGGGGTATAAATCAAATAAATAAATAAATAAATAAAGTTTGCTAATGATAAATCAGGGGGTCACTGAATTTGTTCTCTCTGCCACTGGTGCCATTCAGCCACAGCAAATAAAATGCGCTGGTGCAAAGAGCAACTGGAAGGCAAGCGCAGCCTAGAACATGAAAGCGGCAAAGCAGAAACCAGGAAAAACAAGATTTTTTAAATTTCTCAGATATTATGTCTTTACTTTTGTGAGATGCCATTAAAGGAATTGTTTGTGTGTGCGTGTGTGAACAAGAAGTGTCCGAAAAACAAAGATGGCCATGGAGGTGGCACATCCTATACCATCCTACTAAGTAACCTTTTCATGGAAGAAGAAGAAGAACAGGGGGAGGAGGAGGAGGAGGAGGAGATTGGATTTATACCCCGCCCTTCACTCAAGAGTCTCAGAGTGGCTTACAAACTCCTTTCCCTTCCCCTCTCCACAATAGATACCCTGCGAGGTAGGTGAGGCTAAGAGAGCTCTTTCAAGAACTGCCCTTTCAAGGATAGCTCTTGTCAGAACTATGGGTTGCCCAAAGTCAACCAGCAGCTGCAAGTGGAGGAGTGGGGAATCAAACCCAGACTACACCACACTGGCTCCTGGTTTCTGCTTTGTGGCTTTCATGTTCTAGCGCTTGCCTTCCAGTTGCTCTTTGCACCAACAGAAATGTTTTAAAGTTCTTGAATCTCACTAGAAAGCAACCCAACAGATATAATAAGATAAATAAAATTCCATATGGTGCAGATTGTAAAGTTGTGTTCTTTCCAGTTATGGGAGGTGGGTGGGGGGAATCACCACATTTCTCACACTATTTCTTTCAGCAAAGCAAAAGCAAGAAAGGCAACAATGAGACCCAACAGCTGTACTTCAGAGGACCTTTCCAAAAGGGCAGAGGTGCAGTAAATAGGATAAGCCTCAGATATGCCTGAGATTTCTGGAGCTTATTGCCGTGTTAAATTGCTTCATAATTATGGCAGCACTAGATAAATGTGACGCCTAGGAGAGTAACTTCTCTTGAATGCAAATGTTCCAAGCCTCTCCCTCTTGGGCAGCAAATGGAATGCCCTTCCTTAAGCGTTTATCCATGGAAGTCACTGAACATTCATCATCGACTATATGGTGAAACAGTAGCATCTGGAAAAGGCCAAATTATGGGGTTTAGGGACAAGTTTGTTGTGGACAGAATTAGAAAGGGTTGCTTTTCCTGACAAACCTTACCCAGTTTGCTCAGGAAGTGTATGGACAGAGATTATATTTAAGTAAGGACAGAAATGACATTTGGCTATTTTATCAAGCGCCCTTCAGCCATGAAGCCCAATGGATGATTTTGCATGCCTTTTACATGTATATTCCACTTTTCTCCCCAATGCAGACTTCTAGTGACATGGAAATAGTTCTTCCTTCCTACGTTTTCTCATAACAACAATTCTGGGAGGTACATTGGGCTGAGAGAGAATGACTGGCCCAAAGTAACACAGGAAGCTTCCTTAGTAGAGTGGGGATTCGAACCTGGGTTTCCCAGAATGCTCTTCAGATACTCTATCCATTACAGCATGCTGGTTCTCTCTTTGGGCCAGTCTCTCTCTCACACACACACACTTTCTCTCAGCATAACCTACCTCACAGGACTGTTGTGAAAAGAAAATAGAAAACCACTTTAACCTACTTGGATAGAAGGTGGGATAAAGATGAAAACAAAATGAAATAATTCTTTTGAAGCAGCAGCTCTTGGCTAGTCTAAGGAGAATATCAAATGAGAGGGATCCACTGAAATGCTGGTACATCAGCTGGCATCCTTATGAGGCACCTGCATGGTGGAACAGCAGAGTTCAGGATTTGGCATTCGTTTTGTGGTGCAGAAAAAGAAGAGGAATAAATCCTGCACTGTTCTTTGCTTGCCCCCACCCCCGTCCCCAACAAGCCCCAGCACAACTGGCTAAGAGATTATATTCTGAAGCACCAGCTACAGCCGATTGCCAGGAATCATGATGGGCATATTTTCATACTGAAGGTAAGCCTGTTCCAACCTGTTGGTTGCTAATATGCCACAACATGTTATTAAGTGAAGTTCATAAGATATCAGAGACTACAAATAATATTATGATTTAAAAATACTGTAATGTAATTGCTGTTGTAGTTTGCCAAGTGATGAGACTTCTTGATTATGAGCACCAATGGTCAGCTAACAGTGGGGTTGCGAGATCTCCGGTCTGGCCAGGGGATCCCCCGATCTTTGGGGCTCCAATCTGCTGCTGGCCAGCAGGGAAAGCCCCATCCCAAAGAGGCCCCACCCCAAAGAGGCCCATCATGTCGATGTGATCAGTACAATGATGTCACACGGAAGTGACATCATCACACTGAGGATATCGCGTCTCAGTGCTTTAGCATTTGGGGCAAAAACTCTATGGTAACTATAGAGTTTTGGCTAAAATGCTAGAGCGTCGAGGCATGACACCCCTGGCATGATGACAAAACCTTGTAGCTCTGAAGCAGTAAACAAGTCTTCAGAAGCCACTGCCAGCTAGGGTTCCCAACTCTGCCTTGTGAAATACCTGGAGATTTTGAGGGTGGAGCCTGGGGAAAGTAGCATTTGGAGAGGAGAGGGACCTCAGCAAAGTCTAATTTCATAGAGTACAGCCTCTACAGCAGCCATTTTCTTCTGGGGGACTGATTTATTTAGATGATAGATATACAGACAGACAGACATACATACATACAGACAAACGGATAGATAGAACTGGAGATCAGTTCTAATTTCGGAAGATCTCCAGGCCCCACATGGGGGTTGGCAATCCTACTCCCAGCCCATCTAGCTCACCCACACCCTTGCAGCGCTGACACTGTCAGAGATGCTTAGAGTTGCAAGAAAGGAGAAGAAGTGCAAGACTCATGGCCCGTCATCAGTTGTCAATTGAAGAGACGAATGAAGAAGAAGGAGAGATTAGATTTATACCCCGCCCTTCACTCGGAGTCTCAGAGCGGCTTACAAACCCCTTTCCCTTCCCCTCCTCACAACAGGCACCCTGTGAGGTGGGTGGGGCTGAGAGAACTCTGACAGAAACTGCTGCTTTTCGAGAACAGCTGTGCCAGAACTATGGCTTGCCCAAGGTCATCCAGCCAGGTGCAAGTGGAGGAGTGGGGAATCAAACCCGGCTCTCCCGGATTAGAGTCTGCGCAGTTAACCAGTACACCAGTTTCAGGATGGCTGCCAAGGAACTGGCCGGGAGTTTAGCTCATTAAGACTTGGCTACAAATTCAGCTGGGAGAAGAAGAAGTTTGTGGATGCAACAAGTACATTTTGTTATCAACCTTGTTGCTACTGGACCTGACAGCCAGCTTTTCTGGAACCCTTGACCTTGGACTGGCCTTGCTGCCTAGAACTCCTTGATCCTAG